GCAGGACGCTGCGCTGAAAATTGCCGGACAAAAAGACGACGGTCGGCAATCCCGCAAGCTGCCCAAAAGCACCATTTGAACCAGGTCCCACCGCAGAAAAAGCCTGGTAGACAGATGCGAGTTTTTCTGCATGACTAAACATGACCCCATACGACAATCGTCGTCAAAACTGTCCTGCAAGATTTGATTGAAAAGTATTTCAGTACCCATCGTACTCCCCAAATCTCGCCCTATCAGATTACCACTTGTTCCGCTTTCTCGCAAAGCTTATGAATGGTGCATGTCTCGATGTCAGTAAGTAATTCAAACGCTGGTTAGGTGACTTTCTTGTTACCCGGCGCGCTGGCGTTTGAAAAGCTGAGATTGAGAAGCCAATAGGGATGTGGCGAAAGGCTGCGGTACATGACGGAATAAATTGTTGGTTGATTTTTACTGAACATTGATGATTTTGTTGGTTGGTTTATGAAAACGCTACGAGTTACGGAACGACCTAATAGTTAAGCTGTAAAAGTTTTTATAGATTAGGTTGCTTCCGATGTTCGCATTTCTTCCAACCTTTCTTACTTGAGGAATAATGAAGACACTACACCTATAAGATCGGTATTCGACTAAGCATCTCCTCTTCCCAACCACTTCGTTTTTGAATCAATCACATGATAGCTTGAATGATTGCCGAAGTTCAAAATCTATTATTCTAACCCTCAACTGAGCATTTTCGAGATCCTTACCAATTTTTTATCAGCAGGTTTTTTGGATATGTCAAGAGAAAAGCTCTCGGAAGTCTAGGTTTGCAAAGATTAGTTACATTGTTGTTCCAAACATTAATAATTTTTTATTATTTAAAGATACCAAAGCTCGTTTATTGCTGATAATGATCTGAATATATAAGCTTTCACACTATATGCCAGCTCCTTGCAATCGCCCCTTGTTTACGTAATCAGCACGCTCGCTGATCTCATCCCCCTCCCGTACTGCCTCCCCGCGTAGTCGAAGTTTGCAAATACAGTTGAAAATCGCTTTCCAATAGAAATGAATACGATATCAACGGTAATGAAAATTAACCTACGACTCCCTTCCCGCCCTGAAGAGTATATATGTGGAAAGTTTGGCCCGATTAGTTGCAAAACGAATTTTTTTGTTCGCTTTCATACACATAGATGTACATGCGACAAGCAGACATTCAGCTTTAGGTACTATACAATTTTACAAAGTAATATGTTGTAAAGCCACGTCTTGAAATTTTCTTTCTCATTGCTTCACTGGATTCCTGATGTAGTCAGCAGCTGCTGTCGTGCTCATTGCCGTTTGCGATACAGTCTCATTGGCAAAACCAAATTTTCTTAGTAGATAGCGTCTGTAGGGTAAGACATAGTATAAAGTAATGCAGGGATCAACCACGATCACCAGTGGAGAGATCAAGACCCCTATATACTCTGCTGCAAGGCAGCGAAACGATGTAAATTGTAGCAGCATGTACAGAAATAGATGAGGAAACGAGAACAATACTGTCACCAACGCTTGGATTATAAGAGCCTAAATTACTGCTTCAAAAAAGTAATCAATGCCGTTTTTATACGTGGACGTTGACCTTTATCATCATCTTGAAAATTTGAAGATTTTTTGCAGACAAATCTTCCGCTTTTTCCGCCAGAAAACTTCTCGTCTAAATAAAGGTCTTCCAATTTGAATGAAGCAAAAATTTTGTTTGCTAATCCGAGTTCGCTTACCCGAAGCCCTACTGTTATCATCACAATGTACGAAATTATTGCGATACCGCATAGCACAACAATTAAGTACATGATGAATATATTTTTGACGTTCGGAAAACCGCAGTAATTCCCGTATCTTTGCAAATCATATTCCGGCCTTAGCTTATCCATTATGCTATGCAACTCCGAAAAATCCGGATTAGATACAAGTAAAGCAATCTAGAAAGTAGCAAGAATTGACTTAAGGAAAAAGATATAACG